TGTGCCTCCACCTAAAAGTTGGAAAAAATAAAGAGGGGGTTATTTGGTGTAAAATTGTATATTAGTCCCAAATATTATATATAATATGAAAACTTGAGAAAAAATCTATTGAGGTATTAGTGGAGTGTTATTTATTCTTAGTTTATTTCCTCTGCTTGATTCAGAAGAATTAGTTAAAGTTACAGTTCAAGGGAAAGATAAATTATTCTCTAAAGGAGCTTATTTTGGTTACGATTTGCTAGGTTTTATAATTATTTTTGTTCCTATTTGAGTAATAGTTCGGTTAATTGTGAATAAAGGTTGAAGTGAAAAGCAAGAGAGAGAGAGAGAGAACTAATTCGCCTTTGTTTTAATTCCAAAGAGTTGAAGTGTATTAGAAAAAATTCTTTTGGCTGTTTCGTGAATATCTATTTTTCTAATTTCAGCAATTTTTTTTAAGGTGTGAGTTATGTGCTGGGGATAATTAATTTTCCCTCGCCAAGGTTCAGGGGATAAGTAAGGAGCATCGGTTTCTACTACTATTCTTTCCAATGGTATTTTTTCTAATGCTTCACCTCATTTTCCTTTCCATTTAGCGTTTTTATAAGTGATATTACCGGCAAAAGAGACATAAAATCCTAAATTTAGGAATTTTTCAGCTACTTCCCAATTACCAGCAAAACAGTGAAGAATGCCCTTTTTTATTTCCGTTTCTTTTACTATTTCGTAAGCATCAGTAAAAGCATCTAAAAACTTGTTTTTATCCTCGTTGCTTCTAATATGTAATAGGACTGGTAAATCGTATTTTTTGGCTAGTTCTAATTGCTTCTTGAATCATTTTTTTTGTTTTTCAATTTCCGTAAAGGTTCGGTAATAATCTAAGCCAATTTCTCCAATGGCAATAATTCGTTGGTTAGTTAACTGTTGTTCTATCCATTTTAAGTTTTCTTCTTTTAAATCTTCTTCACTGTTAGGGTGTAAGCCAAGGGAACCAAACAAGTTAGGAAAATTTTTTAATTGTTTGAGTAATAATTGATTAGTTGGCATGTCTTGGCCGGTATTAAGGATATACTTCACTCCGGCTTGCTCGGCTTCTTGAATAATTTCTTCGGTATTCTTATTCTGCTCTTGATATCTTTGGTCAGCAAGGTGGCAATGAGTGTCAAAAATAGTTATTTTATCCATAAAGTTTTTTAGATTTTATAAGTTATCTGTCCTAGTTGAAAAATAAGGAGACAAAAAGATATTCGCAATTCTAGTTCCTGATTTTTGCTTAGTTAATTTGATTTTAATATAATTTTTATCTTGCCAAAATTGGGGATTTTTTTCTCCTCATTCAATAATGTTTAAATTATCTATCGTTAACTCTCGAAAGACCTCCAAATTATCATTAATATTCAAGCGAAAAAAGTCAAAATGATTTAAATAATAATTATCTTTTATTTGATGCCTTTGGCAAATATTGAAAGTTGGAGAGGTTACTTTTTCTTTAATTCTGAGGTTTTTAGCTATTAGTTGGGTAAGGGTAGTTTTACCTACTCCCAACTCTCCTTCTAACAATAGAAAGGTATTCGGAGTTAGCCACGGAGCCAAAAATTGACTGAATTTTTGACATTCGGTGAGATTTTTTATTCGATAGTTATATTTGCTTATCATTTGGTATCATTTAAAAATTTTTAATTTTTTCTTTAACAACTCGCAACATTTATTTTGTTGACAACTAACCCAATCGGTAATATAAAATTGTTATAAAATAGGGAGGTGTGTCCGAGTGGTTTAAGGAGATAGTCTTGAAAACTATTAATATGTAAGTATTCAAGGGTTCGAATCCCTTCGCCTCCTCCAAAATATGAATTTTTTAAACTATTTAAAGTATAGGTTTCTTATTGTGTATATTAATTAAAAACTGATCGAAAAATATTCGTATTATTTACCAAAAAAAGGAATAATAACCGTAATAAATGAGAAAGATTCGCCGGATAGACTATAAAACTATTAATTAACATATGCTAATATTTCCATTGGATTTACAGTTTTTTGCCCAAAAATTAGGCGGGGGTAAGTCGTCTACTAATTGTAGTCATAAATCCTATAACCCAAAAAATTTAGGAGTAAAAAAATTTGGTGGCGAATTTGTGAGAGGGGGAAGCATTATCATTTGCCAACATGGAACTAAATATAAAATAAGCAAAAATGATAAAAGTGTGTTTTTGGGTAAAAGAAGATATATTCATGCTAAATATGATGGGACGGTAAGTTATTATAAAGGTAAGGGGAATAGAACATTTGTAAAGGTTTTGCCTCTTTCTGAAAATGTTTCGCCTCGATAAAAGAAAAATTTTTTTACTTTATCATTATTATCTTGTAGATAACTTTTTTAACCATAAAAGTGGGGAATATATAGATGAAAAAGAACAAAAAAGGTTTTTTTGGCTCAAGGATTGTTTAAAAAATAAGGATTTCCTCCAAGAAAAAATTGCTAAAAAATTAAAAACTGGTTGAGAATTCTCCCGGTTGCCCCCTTTGGAAAAAGCAACCTTAACTTATGCTACTTATGAACTATTCTCTGCTCAGGATTTAAATCAAGTGAAGATGTTAATTGATCAAACCATTAATTTCAGCAAGGTTTATTTAGAAGAAAATAAATATAAGTATATTAATAAAGTTCTTGATTTATTATTTAAGGAAAAGAGCACGGATGAATTTAAAAAGATATAAGCCATAATTTGTTCAAAGAACAGCAAAATTGCGTTTTGAATAGTATTTTAAATTAAAATATTTCATTATGCCAAGAGAGGGTGATAGACATGATAGATGAAGAGCCAAGAAGAAGCAAGAAAGCACTAAA